AAAATAATGTGTCCAGAGACTTGCACACACCTATTCCTGTATTTCCCCTAGGGGCAATGACACAGTATTCGATAATTCACTGTTTGAATGACTTTATAGAACGTAACTACCACTAGTAACAAAAATCAACTATATACAAATATAGTGAACTACAAATTAAAAATTATAATGGAACAATGGATGTGCCATTTTAGGTTTTTTAAAAAAGTCTGCAAATTATAAGTTAAAAAAACAAACTAGTACAAAGATAAAAGCCCCATATGCCTTATTACTCATTTCAAAAGTATAGGGTTGACTGCAGTGCATTGTTTTCGATGTTTAATTCAATTGGAACTATAAATCTAAACCTTTTATTCCTCTTTAATACCTACTCATCAAATATACCTGTTTCTTAAGGTTTAATCTCCTTCTTTTTTTTCTATTTCCTATCATCCTTTTCAGAGTGCTTTCTCATAACCTCAAATACCATCTACAAATCAGAAAAGTCAAACCTAAATTTCCAGTCTTGACATCTCTTCTGGCTCTGGACCTGCATTTCCAAATCTGTCTGTCTTATCCACTACCGTCCTAGTCACAAATCACACTCAACGTGTTACAAACAAAACTAATTTTTCCACTCCATGAGCCATTCTTTTCTGCATATGTACCTTATCTGAAGTAATCAGTGTTCCCCATCATATAAATTAGAAGTTTATCCCCACAACAATCTTCTAAGTAGGTGCTGTAGTGTGGTTGAGAGGCAGGATTACGCAGATGACAAAAATTACAGTCTTGAAATCAGATTTGGTTCTGATATTTACTGTGTGGCTTTAAGCCAATTACTTTTTTGAGCCTCACTTTCATGGTTAGTAGATACAGTGTAGGTTTTATTATTGTTCTATTTGAAAGTGTAGAAGGTACCCAGACTGGCAGCATCAGCAACACACAGGCGCTTGTAAGAAATACAGAAACTCAGCTTTACCCCCAAATATGGTGAATCAATATCTGCATCTTAATATGATCTTCAGTCAACTGGTTTGCATATTCAAATCTGAGCAGCACTGGTCTAGCCCACTCTTACTAATACAAAGCTGCTATCACTTTCAGGGCAGTAGATCACTAGAGAATCAAGAAAGTCCTGTCTGTAACTTACTAGAGCTGCTGTTCCAATTATTGCCAATATTCCTATTTATTCATGTGTCACCAATTAGAGTTAATTCAGGCCATTTACAGCTTTTATAGATGGATCGTTGAGTTTATCCAGAAAACATGAAATATCTGGACATGACGAATTTAAATCTACCCCACGGTTATCTTATTCACTAGAGAAACGCTCAATCTTTATTTACCGTTTTAAATTGTACTCCTTCAACATTTCTAAATTTGAATTGTTTAAGGTTCCCTTGTGTCCCATCTTTACAAATTTCCAAGACAGGAGAAAAACAGGAGTACCAGTCTTCACCTGAAATCTTTGGAAAATGTGACCAAATCTTTGATGCAAAATAGGGATTTTGCAATAGCTTACAATTCAAGCACAAAATCTCTTATACAACAGCACTGCTTAAGTGAAATTATTTCTAGATCCTAATAAATTTGTTAAGCATTCATAATGAACCATGCACTGTGTGAAGTGAGAAAGCTTGTAGATGCTTAATAATACATTTTATAATCTAATCCCATGCTGCTATTAACCTGAGATACTGACTTCCTAACAAGTTCCCAGACAATGCTGATGCTACTTTTTTGAGGACCATACTTTTCAATAAAAAGATCACAAAGCAAGAAGTATTATATGGAGCTCTGAGGAAAGGAGAACAAAAACAATGGGGCCTGGAGGTGGTGAGAGACTTTGTCTTCTCCCTCTGAGAATCCACTGTTGTCAGCTACTTAAAATCCAATATGTTAAAAGTCAACTGAGAGAAATCTGTCACCAAGAAGTTAATTGTGGCATTCAGAATAGCTTATATTGGAGTAAATCCACCATTTAGGATTAGAAGGTAGCAAAATTTAGAAACTCATTACTAGGTCTTTGCTAGGTGCATATCCTATTCTTCACCTAGTGTTTTCATTCCCCATTCTTTGCCTTTTGTACATCCATCCCATGACATATAACGTATAACATCCTTATTGTTGCATTTCCTAAACTATCAGAATTTGTTATAATTTCCTTTTTGACCCAAAAGCTAAGAACATTTCAAAAATTCCGTGTATGTGATTTTCAGCATTTAAACTTAGTTTCTAGGCTTTCTTGCAACGCAATCATTTGTGTTTTCTAGAAATATACTAAAGTTTTCTCCGTGTCCTACTATAAGACCATCTAGAAATGTTTCAGGATAATTTGAAAAGGCAAATGAAACAACAAAATTATATATATTATACACACATATACCTCTTAACTATTTGACTACTCTTTAAATATTTCAGCTTCTCATTTACTTGATTTATTAAAGACCATTAAGTCTTGAAGTCAGAGTCCAACAGTTTTAGCCATATATATTCTCTTTAGTTGAAAGATTAAGTACCTAAAATGTACTAATTTTAAATATACAATTTTTTAAACATATATATACATCAGTAAATCTACCACTCACATCAAGATGTTGAACATTTTACATACAATGCCATGTTATTTACCACATAAAGTCTCTTAAATGTTACATCTTGCACTGAATGTTTTACATATAATTTGTTATAACTTGAATTCTAATAAAAATGTTGCTATTGCTATGACTGATGGTTCACACTATTTTCAAACTCTTTTATCCTGTTTTATACAAATGTGAGTATCCAGGGCTAGAAACTGATTTTTGACTCAATTTGTCTCTTTTTAACGGGGACATTTAACCAGTTTATGAGTGTGATAGCTCATCTGTACCTCTGTCAATTTATTTTATGCTAATTTTAATGTTTCTGTTGCTGTTTTTCTTGGTTTCATCACTTCCTCTCCAGTCCAAAAAAGTGGAATATATATTCCATTATTATCTGTAACACTACCTCAATGTCAGATTTACTTATACTACATGAAGCAGTAACTACTGATTTTCCCTAAGCAAGATGTACATAAAGCAAAGTTTTAATCCACTGTCTCCCCAACCAGTGATTTGGAAATTTTCTTTTTACACTATCAGTATTAACATTACAAATCCGCTACTTTTTTCCCATCTATAATTAAAAATAGGGGAAATAAAACTGTACCAACTCCTTTCCCATTTTGTCAGAATAACATTTGGAATGCCTTTAATCTTCGTGTCCTGTCCACAGTGACAAAGCCCTTTTACTTATGTTCAGCTTACGAATATTCATATCTTTATCTACACTGCATGCTAAAAATAAAACAGCATTTATTTGCTCTATATATTGAACATTCAGCACACCTTTTCACTTTAAAATGACATAAAATGAAATTTTAGGCCCAACTTACAACGTATTTTTATGCTTAGTTTTATAATCCTACATATAACAATTTAATGCTATTTAACTAGTTTAAACACTTACCACTAATTTTTCATACAATTGCCTCCCTACTCTTGAGTTATTTAAATTCACAGTCTCTGATGACTGCAGTAAATCATTTAGCAAATTTTTCAAGGATGGTACTTGGGTGATATACTTTCTTAACCCCTGCATATCTGTGAATGTCTTCCAGTTGCCTTTGCACAGAAATCATAACTTGGCAGGGTATATAATTCTTGGTTCAAAATTATTTTCCCTTAAAACTCTGTAGATATTGTTCCGTTGTCTTCTGGCATTTAGAGTCGCAAGAGAAAAATCTGAGGTCAGCCTGACTTTTGTTCCTTTATAGGTAACCTGCTTTCTCTGTCTGCACACTTCCAGATTTTTTTTTTAATCCTTCCAATTTAAAAACATCACGAGGATATGTCTAGCTGTTGCTTTCTTTTCCTTAAATTTTAACGGTACTCTGTGAGCTTTTGCTACGTGCAGACCTAGTTCGTTCTTCAACTCTGGACAATTTTCTTCCACTCCTTAATCATCGTTTCAGCTTCATTTGCTTTGTCCCTTGTTTCAGGTATTCCTATTACGCGCTGACTGCATCTCCTGGACCCGTCCTCTAGATCCCTCTTCTTCTCTTTTCTTCATTTCTCTTCCCGTTTTTTCTGCCTGTGGTGAGAATTTCTCTTGTTTTGCATTTACTTCAGTAATTCGACTCTGTGCCTGATCAGGCTTGCACATTTCTGTCCCCTCCCTCAACTCCCTGAGAGTTTTCGAGCGCTCTGACAGTAGCCTCTTTATCTTTGAGCACAGGTCCTTAAACTCCTGTATTACATGATACTCAATCCTTACTCTCTCTGCTGTTTCCACCGCTATATCCGTTTCAAGAGGCGGCATTTTCTCGATTACTTAGCTGTTTCTTTCTTCTGAACTGCGGTATTACGACCTTGAAAACAATAAACAAAACTTAATTCCCTACCGTTTCACTGATTCAACTCCAAATTCCCACTGATAATTATTAACGGTTTTATTAAAACGTTTTATTTTTCTTTCTTACCGTTTGAATAGCTCCTCTTGGCAATGGGACCAACAGTGAAAATAATACGTCTTCCGCACCACCCCCAACAAAATAAAACGAACGTTCAAAACGGTTTCCGTTACGTCATCCCTGCGCGCCTCACGCCAGGGCCAATAGCCTGGCGCGCAGCTGTGTCTCTGAATGGGCTCTAGCGCGCTAGTCACCGCGAGAAGGCGGGTTCAAGCCCGCCGCCCCGCCGCCCCGCCGCCCCGCCGCCCCGCCGCCCCGCCGCCCCGCCGCCCCGCCGCCCCGCCGCCCCGCCGCCCCGCCGCCCCGCCGCCCCGCCGCCCCGCCGCCCCGCCGCCCCGCCCATGAGAGCTCGGGAGTGCGCGTGCGCAGCACCCATCCTCCTCGGCGCGCCAATGACCCGGCTGAGCTCCGGTACCGCCTTGAAGGCGGGGCTGGGCTCCAGCCGCGGCCAATGGCGCTGCGGGTGAGGGTTGAGAGGTGAAGGTGCCTGCTAGCCGGTGGTGCGCGTGTCTCGTACCGCGTGGGCCGGTCCCCGGTCGTCATGGAGGCAGTCTTGACGGAGCAGCTTGACGAGGAGGAGCAGCTGGTGAGACGGCATCGCAAAGAGAAGAAGGAGTTGCAAGGTGACGGGGGAGTGGGGAAGCTAGGAGTCGCCTGGACCAGGGAAGGGCGCGTGGCGGGTCGGGTCTGGGGGAGCTTGAGGGGCTTCTGGTCTGGACGCTCCTAGACTTCCCTTCCGCCTGCCCTGCCCCGGCGGTCCTTCCTCCCCCAGACCCTCAGAAACGCCCCCTTCCCGGGCCCGCCGCGCGCCCCGGCGCCGCGCGGTGCTGGCGTCCGAGAGCACCGCCGAGCCGCGGTCTGGCGCTGCTCTGCCCTCCGCCGTCTCCCGTTCCGCTCTTGCCCCGGCTCCCGACGCTTGGGTCATGGGTGCGTGTCATGCGAGGTGTGACGTGAACTACCTCGCTTCAACTTGAGGACTCAGAAGGGATACTTGAGATGTTTCAAAACTTCAGTCAGTTTTTGTCTTTTGCCTCCTACCGCGCCAAACTCACGGTTATGTTAATGAGATTTTTTTTTTTTTTGGTCTCAGCTTCATTGGGGCTCTTCTCTGTAGTTGTCTGATTGTTATGTAATTACTCTTCTTGCTTCCATAATTACTTTTTCTATACGCTTCGCCCCTTACCATCCCCTTACTGTTCTGTTTCTCATTTTCCCTTAATCTCTGGGGTTTTGACATAATGATTTTGGTGGCCTTTCAGCCAAAATTCAGGGTATGAAGAATGCTGTTCCCAAGAATGACAAAAAGAGGAGGAAGCAACTCACTGAAGATGTTGCTAGATTGGAAGCAGAAATGGAACAGAAACAGAGAGAGGAACTGGAGCAATTGAAGCTGACTTCTAAGGACCAAGTATGTGAAGTAATGTGTCTTTTTGCCTATAGTATTTGAAAGCAAATGTTCACTGCTACTAAAATGTTTACCGTATAAAATCATAAATTTGGAGGGAAATGAAGTCAGTCATGCTCATGCATCACCCTTCATAAATATTTTTGTGACCAGGTTTACATGGTAGTGCCTTTCTGTAAGGGGGTCAGCGAAGACAGTACACTTCTTTCACTATTTACTTGCCCAGAAGATGAACAGATTGATGAAGTGGACTAGGGGAAGCTCCCCAAATGCAAGTTAGAAGAGAAGACTTGTAGTCCCAGAATTGCCATTAAATAGGACTGTAACCTGGATGAAGTTAGACTTCCTGAGCATAAATTTCTCCTCGTGTAATATGATACAGGTACTTTTTTAAGCACAGGATTTTTTAAGAATCAAGTGGGAATACAAATGTGAAATCATTTTTAAGTTATAAAAATGCTTTATAAACAAGTTGTAATGAATGAAAATTGATTTTCTTTGGTAAATTGGAGTACACTATCATATTTTTAACTATTTATTTTATCATTGTAGCTAATATGTATTGTGTGCCAAGCACTTTGTTTAAAATATTACATGCATTAGCTCTTATAATTCTCATTGTAACACTATGAGGTATTATCTATGAAGTAGTGTAAACAATCCCATTTTTCAAGTGGGAAACAGACTCAGAGAGATTAAGAACTTTGTCCTGAATTCATAACAGCTGTTAAGTGCCAAAGTCAGAATTCAGAATCAGAGCTGTCTGACTCCAGGTTGTGAATACTGAATTCTGTTATAACTTTGTATAGTGTGGTAGTTTATTGCATGGGTTTTGGATATCAAGGATCATAGACTCCATAACTTCACTCTATTTTTGATAGTTAGTTCTTATGTCTATGCAAAATTTTATGTACCATAATTAAATTTTATTTTATTTGGTTTATTTTTGGTCTGCTGTTAACAGGGAAAACAGCTTGTCTGTACTGATTTACAATGGTTGTTGTATTAAACATGGTCTCATTTTCTTTAACTTTATTAGCCAGTCATCAAGGTCCTGGCCTTCCATGCCCTTAACATACTTTATTTCCAAGTAACAGGCGTGATGCTCAAGGTGTTTGTGTTGTCAGAATTGTGGTATTCTTGATTGTCTCCCCATCTTTTCTATCAGTGAGATAGTTTTGTTTGCTCTCTCAGGCCTTTCAGTTGTGAGATTTCTTTCCTAGGTTTCCAAGGACAAAAATGTTTGATTCTTAAGCTCCATATAGTCCAACTGTTAAAATAAAAGCTCCCCTTCTACTTTGAACTATTATCTTTTTCATTAACTTAAGCTTGTTTTCTTTCTGAATGCTACCTGAATTCTTATGTCATTGCTTTCGCTTTTTTTTCCCCAGATGCTTCTCTGTATCTTGCCTATTGTCGGTATGGCAGTTTGTAAATTTTAGCAGATTCCTCTGAAAAATATAAGAATCCTAATTTCACTAAAGTTGATTATCACTCTTGGAAGTCTTAATGTGATTTTGATATGTTAATCATGTGGGCCATAGCCTTGGAGACTGCTGACTCTGTTGTTATTAGAGGCCTTGATGGGTCTTATGGATGTGTCGCACTAAAAACTAGCTTAACTTATAGTTGCAGTAATAAAATACTAGCTACTAATCCTGATAGTTATAAGTCTAGCATCTTTTTTCTTCAGCAAACACATGATAGCCATTTGATGATTAATATTGGTGGTAGTATCATAACGATAATTATAAGTTAAATTTTCTACCTGTAGTTACCAGTTTGTAGGTTGGAAAGGACGGAAAAAGCTCAGTTTGTTACCAGGGTCAAGAAGCAGTGCTCATCAGGTTCTGGCTAATGAAGATGGAGAAAGGCCTCTGTTTCCACCTTTGAGGTTATGAAGGTAGTAATGAACTGAGCCAGCACAGGACGTTATATATCCTATAAGTACTGTCAACATTTAGAGAAGGGAAGGGTGGAGTGCTGAATGATTTGGCACTTTTCAGAAGTATTTAGATTAATGGGGTAGGCATTCCAATGAGAAAGGAAAGCATGCAGGGATGAGCATTATCTTTGAAGATCTGTAAGGAAACTTCTCAGCAATCTGACAAAATTTCCCTTAAAAATAGAGAAAGGAGACAACGGCATGACATCAAATATTGTAGGTAGTGCTGTTATTCAAATTTGAATAACACACATATTTGTGATTTTCAGTAATAATTTAATAATCTAATACTTTAAATAATAACTTAAGAGCATTTTTAATTAATTTGTTAATGCTTTTTGTTTCCTTCAGATAGATTCTGTTGCTGATAACATCTCAAACTTGGTTGTTGAGAATCAGCCGCCTCGGATATCAAAAGCACAAAAGAGACGGGTATGAAAGTCATGTCACCATGTATTTAAGCTAGTGCTGTGGGCTCAACACTATCTTAGCTGTTGTATAGGAAGGGAATAGGAAAAAGATGATGGAATTCCTTGTCAGAGGACCTCAACTTACATTTATTAAACACTTCCTATGTGCCAGATACTATGCTGTGCTTACCGATTATATGAAATCTCATTTAGTCCTGACAATAATTCTGTGAAGTAGGATTTCTTATCCCCATTTTATAGAGAAGAAAATAGGCCTAAGGCAATATAAAATAACATGTCCACTTTGCAGTTTTCAAAGGAGGGTGGGGCTAGGAAGAGGGTACAAAAGATATTTTTTACAAATACATTATCTCAGACTTAGTAATTCAGAATCTTCAGTGTGGGCCCAGGTGATTCTGATGCACAACTTTGGTTAAAAACGATGTTATTAAGTGGTGAAACAAGGATTTGAACCTAGAAGTTAAGCAGGTGTTCAAAATTCTCCGAATTAGGTAGGTCCCCATGTAATGGTTAGTTGCAATGAAAGTTCAGAGAAGGAAAAGTTCAATGTGCTAAATGTTAAATAATGAGTTTGAATTTTTAGGAAATAATAGTTATTTAGATAGGATATTTGAAGTAGGAGAAACAGCATGCACAAAAACAAATGTGGAAATGAAATTTTGTATCAGAGCTATAAGGAAACTGATTTATTAGAAGTAGTGAGTTCATGATATCAAAATTATGGAAATAAAAGAGGAAATGGAAATGGAAACGAAATGGAAAGAAAGAGGTTTAAATCCAAGCTTTTTAGTCCCAAATATTGTTTTACTAATGATGTTTTCTAGTATTTAAATGTTTACTTTTAAGTTAGCTTTGCCTCCTATAATTTAGTAGTATGCAATTTAATAGACCGTGGAGTTTGGTGTCAGGTGGGGGTTTTAATCCTACTTACTGTTGTGGCTTTGGGTAAGAATCTTAACTTTTTTTTTTTTTTTTTGTGAGGAAGATCAGCCCTGAGCTAACATCCGTTGCCATAACATCCGTTGCCAATCCTCCTCTTTTTGCTGAGGAAGATTGGCCCTGGGCTAACATCCGTGCCCATTTTTTTCCACTTCATATGGGACGCTGCCACAGCATGGCCTGACAAGCGGTGCATCGGTGTGCACCTGGGATCCGAACCCCGGGCCGCCAGCAGCAGAGCCCATGCACTTAAGCGCTACGCCATGGGGCCAGCGCCAAGAATCTTAACATTCTTGAGCCTCAGTTTCACGTGTATAAAATGGGGGAAAATAATACCTACTTCATAGAGTTGTTGTAAATATTAAATAATATACTGTTTCCAAAGCCTGACACAAGGCCTAGAGAACTACTGGGTCAACAAATGATAGTAGTATTTACTGTGTTAAGTACTGCATAGTATGCCTCTTAAAAAGTTCAATGTAAGACCAGTATCTTTTTTTTGTTTGAAAGTTAAGTTGCAAATTGTCAAACATTTCTCATATTTATGTAAAATTTTACTCTTGAGTAAATAATATGATTGTGAATTTCGTAGAATTGTGAAATTTAGATTTCATGGTATCTTGGAGGTTATCTAGTTTAACTCCCTGCTTATAATATGTATTCTTTTTGTGATAGCCTTGTAATTGTCATCTAGCTTCTGTAGATCAAAAGTGAAGGGCAGAATTTTTTCTTGGCTGTAGCATAACAAAATATTTGTTGGAATTGCCTCTACTTAGCATTGATACATCTTCGAGTAGCCTGTTTAATTCTGGAAAACATAATAGCACAACTCCTTCCTGTCTTTATCAAAACTTATTCATCCCCATTTGGCTGGACCCTTAGCCAACAAAACAAACAAAAACAAAATAAACTCCCTTACCTTTCTCAAACATTTTGTAACTTTTCTCCTAAAATGGTACATAGCTGAAATACATACCTTTTTCAGCTACACCCTCAAAAAATTTAGTGTTTTTTATAGTCAGCTGATTTTAACACTTGGCAGAGAAAACACCTTACAAGTAATGCCCAAAGTTTCTTATTGCTTTGTTATATTAATAGGATTCTGGAACAGAAAACACTGACAGTTTATATTTAAGAAAATGGAATCTGAAAATAGGGTGGATAACTGGGTATTAGATTTATTTCAAACCTCTTTTTTTTTTTTTTTTCTGCCAAAGTTGCCAAGGAATGAAAAGCCAGTTAACTAATGGTGTTTATCTTTGGGAGGGATAGAACTCTGGTAGAAAAACATGACAAAAGTTTATGAAGATTTATTATTGGAATATTGTAGAGCAAATCTCTTATTTTTAATCTAGAAAAACATAGGGAGGATTTTATTTAATTCAGAGAACTTCAGTGGAACCTCTTTGGTATGGTGGAAAGAGCCCAAAGTAGAACTTAGAAGAACTAGATTCCAAAAATAAGAAATTTGAGAGCTGGAATGAGATCTAGTTCAGTTTCTTTCTTTTACAAATGAGGAAGCTGCAGCTCGGGTTATCTCAATGGCGTACTGAAAAAGTTTGATACAAACCCAGGACTAGTACCCAGCTCTTAAGATTTCTCTTCAGCTGTTTTGCTGTATTACTATATCACCATGACTCTAGTTTTACTAACAATATATTTATGAGTTACGTGCTAGCTCCGTCTTACATACGTTTTCATTAGATTTTATGGGTGCCATTCTATCTCCAGTACTAGGGTTGTAGAAACCAGAGTGCCTAGTGCTAATGGGAAACTACACATGGCTGGGACAAGAATCCAGTGAATTTCCCACCTAGTGCCCTGGAAAGGAAACACAGTTGCTTTGTAATATTGAAGCAGAGCATGAGGAAAAAAAATGATTGGATTTGTATTTTAGAGGCTTAAACAGTTTTGCAGATAGTATAAAGTTCCACTCTTCTAGTAACTAGTGCATGACATGATTAACTCCGGCTCCCGTCTGCTCCAACTTTTATTCTGATTCAGGTGCCTGGATAGAAGGAGCTCTCTGTGTTGTCCTTGGTCCCTGCTCTGCTTCTAACCAGCTGTATGGCCTTTGGAAATCTTTCTGCCTGCTGTTTCCTCAGAAGAGGAAAAGGAGGGGTTTTGGCTTAGATGATATCCAAGGTGCTTATCCTCTCTCTCCCCTCTGAAAATGTTTGTAGTCTTTTATAAAGTGATAGTGCCATCTTCTGTTTTAAGATTTTATGCTGCTGTGATCTGCGGTTGTAGGTATGCAGCGAAATAAATTTGTTCATGTTACTTCTGGCATGGTTAGAGTTGGGAGGAAAAAACTTAAATAGGTTTATATTTTATTGGGGAGATACTACTACTTTTGATTCAGGTAACTTAGAAATCACTTCAGGTTCCTCTAGCATGGCACATAACAGGCATGTAGCACAAGTATGTGGCATTAAGTTAAATTGAAATTTGCCTTTCCCTTCACTTCTTCTGCCCCAAGGAGCAGTTAGAGCTAGGGGCATGATAATCTTTACCTTTTCCTACTCTTTTTCTTGGTTTACCAAACACTTCCTTGTAATTTGCTACCAATATCAAGATTTATAAAATTTAGTTTTAACTATTTTTTTTCTTTTAAATTGAAAAGCATTCACCCTCAGTTTCCAAGTAAAGCGTACTTATGGTAGAGAAGTAGAAAGATGCAGAAAAGCACACCCCCCCACACACACAAAATAAAACTGACTTTATAATCCTACCATCTAGAGAAACGCACTAAAAATATTTTATGTATATCCTTCTAGTGTTTTTTTTACCTATGTATGTGTGGACTTAATATGTATTAACTATATACCTATCTTTTTTGCCCCCAACCTCATCTCTTGACCCTTTCCTCTGACACTCTAGCTGCATGAACCGTTTTCAGCTGTGAAACATAACGGTGCTTTTTGGCTTTCGATCCTTGCTAGTCTGGCGGTCAGGATTTCTCTCTTCTTCCCCAACCTTCCCCCTGTTTCCTCTCCACCCTTCACGTCACAGATCTCTCCCTGCCCTCCCTGCGTCCCGCCCTTGTGTGTGCTGCCTTGGGAAGATCTCTGATGACATTTGAATAAGGGAAGCAAGTTGCAGAATGTAATGTATGATGCTATTTTTGTTAAAATATTTCTTTATACATTTTCTATGAGTACATCTATATTTACTAAAAGGCATAGAAAAAAACTCTAGAAGGATACACACAAGACCTCTAGGGCTGGCACTGGGATTGGCAGTGGTCTTTAAGGGGAACTTTAGTCTATCTGTAATATTTTAATTTTTTATAAAAAAGAATGTTTTTATCTGTTACTTTAATTAAATTTGTGTGTTGTGTATCTGCACACACACACACACACATTTTTTTCAAGCTAGATAAATAGAGTTCCTGTACCCATCTAAAGGCTTTAGCGTATTAATGCCTCACTGGTGGAGTGATAAGTTAAAAAGCTTGGATTAGCTTGGTCTTAAATATGATCATGAGGTTGCTTTAAGGCCTAGGACAATTCGGTCTTAAGACAGTACTTTGAAATCAGTAAGTAAAATCTTTAGAAACTTGGCATGTAGTTTTTTTAAATAGACTTCAAAGAAAAATTTGAGGGCTTTCTTTTGTCCGCTTACAGAGCTAGGTGTTGGTACACACAGATGAGAGAGAGAGTTTGCCTTTAAAGGAGTTCGCAGTATAGAAAAGTCTGCAAGTGATGAGATCATCAATATCATAGTGCTTGTGGGAGAAGGGAGAAAAATGGCAAAAAGTTTTGAAAATCTTATATTCCTATCCCCTTAGTAAATGTAAGTTAGTCCTAATTATTGTGAATTAACTTTCCTACATTCTCCTTTTCTTAGGACAAAAAAGCTGCATTGGAGAAGGAACGGGAAGAAAGGATAGCTGAAGCTGAAATTGAGAATTTATCTGGAGCTAGACATGTAGAAAGTGAAAAACTTGCTCAGATATTGGCAGCCAGACGGTTGGAGATTAAACAGATTCCGTCTGATGGCCACTGTATGTATAGAGCCATTGAAGATCAGCTGAAAGAACAGGAATGCCCTCTGACTGTGGCTGCCTTAAGAAGTCAGACTGCTGAATATATGCAAAGCCATGTGGAAGACTTTCGGCCATTTTTAACAAACCCTAATACAGGAGATATGTATACTCCAGGTAGTTTATTTTTCTTTACTATGTCTTGTTGTTGCTGCTGTGGTTGTGGCTGTTGTTAAATCGAGTGCTTCCTGGGAATGAGAATAAGAAAAACCTGTATAGTCCTTAAAGGGAAAAAAAAATCTCTAAATTTGGGCAGAATTATTTTCTATAGTTTTAATAGATACTAGTACATTTTGCTTTATTAAGATCTTTTAAGTATTTAACCATTTTGTAATTAAAATATATTAATTGTTTTATATACGATAAAAATAGGAATAGGATTTATTATTATTATCAAAAGAAATGTGTTCATAAGTTCATATTTCACAAAGTTAAGCATAGAGGGAGGTGAACTTTGACCAATCTCTGGAAGTATTGGGCCTGAGGAGCATAAGCAGAGAATGATTAAGAACACTAATTCCTCCTTTTATCTTGCACTTTGGGAGATTTAATTTTATTCTCAATAACCCATAATATTCAGGCAGAATTTGACTTTGCAAAACCAAAAACAAATGAATTAATAACCTGCATTATTCTTTATAATACCTTTGCTAATTAAGATAAAATATTTAGGGTGAGGTGAAATAAAAAATGCGCAACTAGCAAAGGAAGGAGAAGGCAAGTGAAAATCTGAAAGAGTTGCAGGTGAGTAAGGGATGTAAATAGAGGAAAGTTAGTCCTTGAGAGAAGATGGCAGGTGTGGCAGTATCCACTGGGGGCCGGTCATATGGCCAGGATGATTGGAGAGGGGAAGGTCAAGGTTAATTGTCATTTAATGGAGTCCCCAACTCTGCTAGTTGTAGGGCAGTGGAGAGGAGGTGACAACCTAGCACGCTGAATCAGAGGAAAAGACTTAATTATCTTCATTCATTTAGCCAATGTTTACTGAAGGCCACTATGTGCCAGGAATGGTTCTAGGCACTGTTCTGAGCACTGAGGATATAGCAGTGAATGAGACAAACACATGGGATGTGAGGTGCCCATAATTCTTTCCCCTTCCTCTAAACAGTTTAGGAAGGGTGTTAGTTTCCCATTTTAACTTTCTGTATAAAAGTATGTATGCTCAAGATATGCCATTAAACTCTGCAGGTAGGTCTTTGACCTCCTCTCAGGACTGATCCGGGAAGCCCTTTCTTTGGCTAGAACTGATACTGATGCAAATAAGGTAAATGCTTCCAAAATAACAAATGGAGGCACTATTTGATGCTGTCGCTGGGAAGGAGTTTCAACTCATTTGTACTTTTACCCTGCTGCTTTTCTCACATTTTTTACGGGGTTTAACAGTGAACCTGATTTTATAGAGGCAACATTTTTTAGTCTTTCAGTGTACTCTTGGATGCAGGTTTGGGCTTTAAAATACACGTCAAGATAGTGAATATGGTGGCACTTTTGGGGGTCATTGCTTGGGTAAAGAGAGGGAAGAATGCCTGATATGTAGTTAAGGTCCCTTGGATGCAGGCTGAGGGAGAGAAGCAGAAATGAATTGCTTTGCTCTTGGATGAAAAGGTGGTGGAAAGTTGGAGTCAGTTAAGTTTGGATCTGGAAAGTGGATAAAATTCTGGAGAGTACAGGTAGAGAAGGAGGAAGTTCATAACTTGGGCAATTTCATCGGGAATTGTGGGAACTGTAAAAGGGATCTTGTAACATGAGTTATGAAAATTATTAAGTGCTATATTCTGATTTGTTCTCTCCAGAAGAGTTTGGAAAGTACTGTGATGATACTGTAAACACAGCTGTATGGGGAGGTCAACTTGAGGTAAGTTTGTATTATTCATAGTGAATGTGGATTGTTAAATTATTTGTAAATCCCATCTGTAGTTTTTACACATCTTTTTCAGATGATCCCAATTTCTCTTTGAAGATTCCTTTCTTTATATATTTGCTATTTCTCGTCTGACAAAGCATTGAAATAGGGAGTTAACATTCTTAGGTCTTTGATTTAATATGTACCTTTGGGAAGTAAAGCACTATTTCATTTTAAAGAGACCAGTGTTTGATCTTTGGGTTGGTGAGTCTAGTGTTGCATCTGCGTGTTTCCATTTGTGATGCTGCTACTGGCAATATACTTGATTTTCTGCACTTATGAAAGTGAAGATTGTACTCAAGTACAGTAAAATTTATGGTAGTGGCTCAGCTGATGAAAATCACGATTGGAATAGTAACACATCCATTACATCAGAAATGAGAAACAATATTTTTATGTGAAATTACAGGTCAAATCCTACCACAACACATCTATTAACAATTGTGTCTTGAATTTCTAGTTGATACTGACACACTGACTTGAGAGCAGTATTTGATGTATTAAAATTCACATATAAGGGCCGGCCCAGTGGTATAGTTGTTACGTTCGCACGCTCCACTTCAGTGGCCCAGGGTTCGCAAGTTCACAACCCAGGAATGGATCTACACACTGCTTAGCAAGCCATGCTGTGACAGGTGTCCCACATATAAGGTAGAGGGAGATTCGCACAGATGTTAGCCCAGGGCCAATCTTCCTCAGCAAAAAGAGGAGGATTGGCATCGGATGTTAGCTCAGAGGTGATCTTCCTCACTAAAAAAAAAAATGCACATGTAAGAAAATGATATGTTCAGTCACTTCTAGAGAGTTAATCAGGATTGTTTTTAAGCTCTAATTATTTATCTCACTGTTAACTTTGTTTCATTAAAACAAAATAAACAGAGCACCTAAGTGATCTAAGTGGTGATGAAGCAACCTGGGGTACTAGGAAGTTGGGATAAGAGGGAAAAGTCCTGGGTTTGAGTCTTGGCTTTTCCTTCTACTTCTCAGTTTTGTGACCTTGGGGGAGTCAGCCAACCTCCTGAGCTCGAGTTTCCTCGTTATTGAATGGGGATAGTAAAACCCCTGTCTATACCTCCTGGGTCATTTGTGGACATTAAATAAGTGAGAAGTATATGCATTGAAGTTTGTAAGCTAAAGTGCCAGATGGATGAATCTAGCAGTAATATTAATATTATTGTGTAATGATTAGTCATCTTGAGGAGTTTGTGCCTCTGAGTATTTCACATCAAGAACTGTGTTGTTTGAAGATACAACATGAATGCTTCAAAATCTTTTTCTCAGCAGAGTTACATTTGTACCTCTTCTGAGCCACCAGAGGGAACTGTGTCCCTTCGTTTTCGATGCCTCTGCTGGTCTGTGACACTCAGGAAGTTTTCATAGGAGCCTTGTGACTACATTAGGAGTAATTAAAGATGCTTGAACTTTCTTATAAGCATCACAAATTAATATGAGTACTAGACTCTTTTTAACTGAGAAAAACCTTTTACAACATCCTTTGAAGGCCATTACTCATAAATTGTTCATCTGTGAATTCTTTTGAAATGAGTTGCTGTTTTCACAATGGGGTATCTTTAAATTATTAAAGAGAAATTCTTTATATGATTTCTGAAGACTTTGAGGGGATGGTAAGATTTCCAGAGCTTGCTTCACACCTTCCATTCTGTGCTAGCTTTTAAGATATATTATTTTAGGTTTAAGAAAAAAGTGCCACAAAGGAACATTTTACGAGATAAGAGTATGGGATTAAATTGGCCACTGTGCAGTATAGAACTTTTTTCATATTCTTGAATTAATTTCTTACCTTCCTTTAAAACTTCCTAAAAGGACCATGTTCTAGACAAAATGTTCTTATAATGGGGCAAATACATAGATCAGGGCACTATGACTGAAGACTGTTAAATGATTAATTTGTTTATGAACTTGGGCTCTAGAGTCAGACTGCCTCAGTTCAGTTGTAGGTCATTTTATTTCCTTGTGCTTGACTTCGGGCAGGCCTCTTAACTTTTGTCTGCCTCAGATTCTACGTCTTTAAACCGTGTAACACTAGTACCTCTCCCATAGGTTATTGTGAAGATGGAATTAATACACGTAAATTGCTTAGTGTGCTTGGTCATAGTAAGTCTAAAAAATATTACTCCCAATATTCATTATTAACTATTATCCATCCTACTTTAAGCTCTAATTTTATATTGTATGGTATGAAATTAAAATTGTCAAATCAAAACTACAATGAGATACCACCTCACTCCCATCAGAATGGCTATAATTAACAAGACAGGAAACAACATGTGTTGGAGAGGATGTGGAGAGAAGGGAACTCTCTCATATACTGCTGGTGGGAGTGCAAACTTGTGCAGCCACTATGGAAAACAGTATGGAGATTCCTCAAAAAATAAGGAATAGAAGTACCATACAATCCAGCTATTCCACTGCTGGTATGTATCCGAAGAACATGAAAACATGAATGCGTAAAAATACAGGCACCACCATGTTCTTTGCAGCATTATTCATGATAGCCAAGACTTGGAAGCAACCTAAGTGCCCATCAAGGGACGAATGGATAAAGAAGATGTGTATATATACACAGTGGAATACTCCTCAGCCATAAAAAATGATGAAATCAGGCTATTTGTGACAACATGGATGGACATTGAGGGTATTACGCTAAGGGAAATAAGTCAGAGGGAGAAAGTCAAATACCATATGATCTCACTCATAAGTAGAAGATAAAAATAACAACAAACAATCACATAGAGACAGAGATTGGATTGGTGGTTACCAGAGGGGAGGGGAGAGGGAGGGGGGCAAAAGGGATGATTAGGCACGTGTGTGTGGTGATGGATTGTAATTAGTCTTTGGGTGGTGAACATGATGTAATCTATGCAGAAATAGAAGTATAATGATGTACACCTGAAATTTATACAATTGGTTTATAGCATTGGTTATAAACCAATGTTACTGCAATGAAAAAAAATTATTAATCAGATGGAAATTCCATGAAGGAATAGTACATAACTCATTCTACTCATGCCTTGAAAATTAGAGAGCTGTGGTTCTCAACACTAGTACATTAGAGTTATCTGAAAAGCTTTAAAAAAAGTAAACCACCTGTTCTTCTCTGCTCCCTCTCTCCTTCCCCCAGCCCTTTCCAAGTTGTGATTGATTTGGTCTGGTGCCTGAGTAATGGTATTTTTAAAAACTTTATTCTGGAAATTTTCAAGCGTATTCAAAAGTAGAGAGACTAGTATAATAAACCCAACCTACCCATCCCCTCGCTTTATTAACTATGGCATTGATATTTCTAAAAAGCTGTTGTGTAGCCAGGGCTTGAAACTTGTGCGTTTGATTCAATAAATATTATATTTATTTGTTTTTACAACAAATATATATTAAGTGCCCACTATGTGCCAGGCTCTTGGTGTACAGTGAGGAACAGAGCAGATCCCTGCTCTTACTGGTTGCCCTATTCATGCAGGCCTCAGTCATTTATGTTTTGAATAAGATTTACCTTTTTATTTTCCCTACTAATACATTTTCTTTCCTATAGCTAAGAGCCCTGTCTCACATTTTACAAACACCAATAGAGATAATACAGGCAGATTCTCCTCCTATTGTGGTTGGCGAAGAATATCCAAAAAAACCGTTAATACTTGTGTAAGTACCTAGAATTTCTACTGTTATATTTTTCATAATTAAGACAAAAAGGATTACTAAAAGATTTTAGTTTATGTTGATTAATCAAAAAAATCTATCTTCAGCTGCATTAATTATGCTTATTTTATGTTAAAGGAAATTATAGAATTGGAAAGCATTGTCAAAATATGTGATTTAGGTAATTGTTTAAATCTCCAGTGATTTATTCTTGTGTATGAGTTAAGAAAAAAGTCATTTCTAAAGGTTACGGAGTTTTAAGATTAGTTTCATGTTGTCCTGGTTTGACCTTAATAATGCTAAAAGTTTCAACAAGTGTAAAAGCTGAAATATATTCGTGTTGCCTGATCATTTATTCCTTAGAAATTTTTTCTTTTTATTGCAAAAGGATTTTACATGATTGAGAATGCTACTCTGAAACATAGCATGGAGAATTTGCTATTGGCTTAGTGTTTATTAGCCAAACCTACTAAAGTGTTCATTAATGTCTTGGATTTAGGTAAAAATTTAAGCTTATTGAGCACCTAGCATCTCAGCCTTTACTTTTTCCCTCTAATGGTTGTGTTTTACCTGACTTGAACTCAGCAGAGTTATTGAACCAGATCTTACTGACTGCTGATGCTTTTCAAATGGTGTTGAACTTGTAAGTAATATGCCAGTGAAGTCTGTTGAATGATATCCCTGTGGAGTGATTCATTCAGTGCTTGGTTTTATATACATAATAAACATTTATATCCAATGAATTACTTTCATCTAAACTACTCATTTCTCCTTTTTTTCATTTCAGATATATGAGACATGCATATGGCTTAGGAGAACATTATAATTCTGTTACACGATTGGTGAACACAGCTACTGAAAATTGCAGCTAGTTTACAACATGTTGCACAATTATGTTTTAGTACAGTGTGCTGATCTGAGTATTCATACCAAGTGCTGGATTGTTCTAAAAGTCACTGAAAAACACAACTACCTTAAATCAGTTTTATGGCAAAGCTATCAACAAGGTTTTAAAAATGTATCAGAGATAAACTTTAACCAATGTCCCCTTAGTGGTATTTTAAAAACTTGTAAGTCCATTGTGGAGAACATCATTTATAGAATAAGATGGTACCCTGTTTGCTGATATTTTTATTTAATGCTGAACATTCTGTTCTGCTTTGAAATAAATGTTTTTGTCTCCCCATTACTAAAAGCTTTCAATAACAATTTCAATGTAATTTTTCTTGAAGAAATGAAATGACTCAGTCTCTTGGTCATTGCAATAATATGGTGATGGTGATAGCAAATTTAATTAATGTTTATAAATGAACTTGATACATAACCTTGGTATTGACGTGATTAATGCTGTGAAGCTTTTTATATAACCCCATCAAAGTACAGCAGAGAAGCTTGCTTTAATAATTAAGAATTTTAAAATATCTATTCAGATGGGAATCAGTTATTAAGTTTTAAGAAATGAGACAAATTCAAAGGTAAATGTGTTCCCTATCAGATTTAAACCTCTAAAGAATTACAGATTAGCCTTTTATTTGTGTATAACTTAAAAAGACCCAACAGATTAGTGTCTTTCTAATTCATTTATTCCTTGCTGTTTCTTAAACTTCAGAATGGAATTAGTACCATCATTTCTTGATTATCTTCATAACTACAAATTTTTGTATTCTTTCTTGTATTTTCTCCATCACTCCTCAGCTGTTTTGCTTTCCTTGCAGTCTTTTCCACTAAGAAACAGTTTGTGGCCTCTTGTATTCCATAACTTGTACAAAGTGAAGGAGTAGCAATGTAAAAGGGTCCAAGGCCAAATTTACTTCAACTTCTTCCTCTTTTCCGATTTGTCTTATAAGATCTTTCTTTTTGCATCATTCTCTAGGATTAGAAGAAAGCTTTTGTTACTTGTTATTTTGTTAGCCTTATTAATGTCACCTTTCCTTTAACTCAAATATTTGAGAATTTTTATGTTACATGTATGGATAAAGTTGAAAGCCACTATTTGGGAGCTAAGATTGTATAGTAAAATCAGTATATAATAATTTTGGTTTGAATGATGTATCTAGCTCAGATTTTAGGTTACTCCTAACAATATTCTCTCTAAGAAGATAGTACCTATATATATAAATGTGTCTGATAATTTGTTATGTAAGGAATTGTTATGAAAATGAGACCTTTTTGGTTTGATCTATTTTTCCCAAATTAGAAATAACTAGTAAGATTTAGCATCAAGTTTATAATATTTGAGTTTTTGTTCCATGAATGCAGCTAATTTTTGTAAGTAAACGTTGGGTTTATAATATTAAAAATGGGGTGTCAGTTTCACATGCCCAGCAAGTGACAATATGGGAAGCTGGTAGGGACTGTAGTCAACTAGAACAAGTAAGTACTGCATGAAACTATTCCAATTCAAAAGTTTAAAAACCGTTCTACCTGCCAAACAAAATATATTCTGAAGGCTGCCTGTTTTGTAATTCTCAATCTGAATTTTTTTGGGGTCTGAAATTTATAAAAGAATGAAATTATAAGATACTAAACAACTTGGCTTTATTTTGAAGTAATCTGTTACTTTAAAATTAAAAGATAAGCATTTAGAAGTAATAAAATGATATCATAAAACCTAGTTATTATAAGTTCCATCTATATTTAAAATATTCTAAAGTAACTTATTGGTAGCTATTTTTTCCTAACAAGATGAGTGGACTTTTCTTGACTATAGGTTTATTTTTTATTTTTATTATTTTTTATTTTTAAGTGGCCAATATAGTTATGAATAAGATTTGTGTGATCAGTTTCTGTTCTTTTATAAAACTTGAGATTAAAATAATTTTAACTGTAACCTAAAATTGAAGTCTTTAAAAAATGGCAGATGTTAATTTAAAAGCAGCATATACCAATTTAGTTTGCTGTATGATGATGGGCTAATGGACGTTTCATAAACTTTCTTTTGTCCTAACTCAGAAAAGTATATGTCAGAGTTCTGGATTATGTCTTTAGCCAAGAATTTTATCCACTTAAATATGTTTACAACTTGTATAAAGCAAAAAAGAATGTATGTAACTATAGTGAGCAATATAATTTTGCTCATATTATCTGATGTTTGCCAAAATGAATAAAAGGTGAATGAATTAAATCAACATTTGTTTGTTCAAATTGTTATTCTTTAACAATTTAGAATGCAGAAACAGAAAAAACTGATTTTGTTTTAGAATTTTATCCAGCCTTTATTTTGTTCTCACATACAATTGAGAATAATAGAATCACAGATTCTTGCATTTAAGATATGTGGAATAAATACATGAGCATGGCAGTATGCCCCAAACAGAATAGAGGGAGATCATAAAGTAATAGCTGTTTAAGCCATGGCTCCTAGAAATCTCGTTGAAGCTTAGAACCTTTTAGAATAATGAAGGTTTATTTAGGGCAAATGAATTAGAGAAATATTTTAACACTCGTGGGTGTTAAAGAAGAAATGAAAAATGAATAAGCATTTGTGTGCAAGAATGTGAAGAAGGAAGAGGGAAGAAGGAAATTTGTGTGAATTGATCTGGCACACACTTGTTAATATATTGTCTTGGTACAGGTTGTCAGGAAGTAGCTAAAGGAGCAGATCAGTTGTTTTTCTGAGAATTTAATTGGTAATCTCATACTGTTTTTACTTTCATTGGACAAATGAGAGTGGTTCTTTTTTCCTGTCCTGTATGTTTTCACATAGATTGATTTCCTTAAGTCTGGTTTAAAATAATCTTTGTCTTGTGGAAAAAA